TCCCCTGTCCTTCAGAACTTTACGCTGAATTATGCTGTGCGGCGTATGGACCTTGGTGGCAAGGCCCTCACAAACTATCTCAAGGAGCTTGTTTCGTACCGGTCCCTTAATGTCATGGATGAGACCCTCCTCATTGATGACGCAAAGGAAAAGCTATGCTTTGTATCCCTTGATGTCCCTCGTGATCTTCGCCTTGCCAGGTCTGCTGACTTCCTCACTGACATGATATGGATATATTAAATTATCGTGTTCTCTTTTGTTTGTTTAAGGTTAGAGTGTGGACCAATTTCAGGATAATTTTTAAGCTAAAGTGTGACCTTCGTATGGAAAGACCAGCTAGGAACTTGTACCTTTTGTAATCTGAACTGCTAATGAGTTGTTTGAGCAACAAATCTAACCATATTACCTATGGAACTATGTTCTGTATCTTCAAAATAAATGTATGTTGCATTTTTTTTCTTGCTGAAAACAGAAGGGTAACCCAATGCTCAAAAAAAAAAAAGGAAAAAAAAACAGAAGGGTAACCCCCTGTGTCCTACCTTACTTTATTTGAAATAACAACTGTTTGTTAGCTTCAAATGCCTGGATACTTGGTTAGACAGGTTGTAGACTTTAGTATAATGGTTGTGGTTATGATAGCTTCAAACAGAGATGACTAAAAAAATTACCTGACTGTACACCATATGCACACACTCATGCACAAGCTTAGACTATGGAAGGAAAGTATAGTTATAAATCTTGTACTCCCAAAACAAATACTATTGGTTTCAGTTGCCAGACTAAGCAAATGCATGATCACCATGTACTAGAGTCTGAATGGTCAGGTATTTGGTTATGTTCAGTTGAGAAGATATGACAAGGAATGACTGATCCTTTTCGGTCTGAATAGCTGGTTGTTGTCCCGTTGTTGAACTGTGAGTACTGGAGTAATTAATGAATGTGAGGGTTTATTCCAGCGAAGTCAAATTTGATCAAGAGTTTCAAACTTTAAAATTTGCCATTGGAGCTTGACAGGGATATCAGTTAGTACTTCATTGATTTACTAGTTGGTTGATTGGTTGAACACATCTGTGGATATCTGCTTATCTATGTCTGGCATACGAAATAATTTTGATCACACTGTTTCGCCTAGCTTTAAATTTTTTCTGCTTAGGCAATGTGCATACCATCATGTCATTGTGTTTTTCAAGCACCATATACTGTCTTGTTGATCAGTTAGCCAAACACTACCTTTCTCTGCTAGTTACAAATGATCAAATCTCTTGACAATGTGATATGCAATCATTGCAGTTTATCATTCAAAGACAACCCATTTAGATGTTCTTACATTCTCCCTGATGGCATAACATACAAGAAAGGGTTTGTCAAAGACTTGGATGAAGCACGTCGATACTGTTCTCTGCCTGTTGAAGGAGAATTAGATAAAAAGGATGGTGGCAATGACATAGACAAGGATCGAAAAAAGCCTGAACTAAGTCAAAATGTAACATCCTGTGTTTCTGTTACATGTCAAATGTTACTTGGTATCATCTAACGGAATTTTGATACGCAGGAATTTGCCTTGACCAACGAGAGGTTCCTTGTCCCAGAGATGCTTTTTCATCCAATTGATCTGGGTTAGTGTCATCTAAATGTCTCCTATACCTTCTTCATCTGTCCGCTATGCTTCATAATCTGTTTTCTAGAACGTGCCCCTACTATTGCCCTAGCATCCTTGTCCCACAGAGACTAACTCAAGGACCCTGAATCTCTCTCTCTAGCTAGCCCCCTCATTGAGATGCTGGATTAGCAGAGTGATCTTCAGAGACTACTCAAGGATCCCGAACCTAATTTTAATTTGTCACCCTTAATGAAAATGATTTCTCAACCAGACATAATCATTTGATGCTAGTTAAGGATATATAAAGTTCAGGAGTAGATTCTCTGCATTCCGCAATGTCTGTAAAAATGTGTGGTGATCATTGAAACGCTAACAAAATGTATGGTACTTCCATTGCACTAAACTGGATAAGTTTTGCCTTGGGACCTTACATGTTACGACCGCAGGCTTTGCATTTTGATACATAGTAGGAGGGCATCCTAGAAAATACATTTGGTGGGACGAATCAGAGCAAACATAAAACAAAAAGGAAAAGAAGGATAGACAATTTGAATATGGGGTTAATTTGCTTGTTCAGAAAATATGGGATAGTTTTGCTGTAAGAGCAAAACTTATGGGTCACAATTTCTCTTGTTTGTTCTCCCAAAATTTTGATGCACAACAAAACAGTCTTGTATTATCCTTGTCTTTTCTTCTGTCCAAAAAATGTTTTTTTACCGTGAAAGGCAGGTGGTCTGCCAATTCATGTAGATAGAGAAATGAAACAGTACAGAGTTATGTACAGAATCTTTACAATTTATCTTTACAATTTATCTCCTACAAGCAATACCAATCATGATAGTTCTATTTCCCACTCAAATTTAGCTTTGACGTATTTTGGATCAGATGGATAGAATAGATTGGCCTATTGCCATAAGAAAAAGGAGCACCTTCGCATATATAGGCTGAATGACTGTCAGGATAACGTTAATTTGTGCAAGTTAGCAGCAGCGATTCCACCTACTGCTTCAGCTCATTGTTTCCCTTCTGCAGTGGCAAGTAATAAGAATACTGATAACAGAATTTTGCAGGCATGAATCAAGCGGGCCTTGCTGAGTGTATTGTTCGTGCTGCACAAGCCTGCCATCCATATATTCAACCTGTGCTTTATCAGAGGTATGTTTTGTCGTTAAACGGTGAAATGCCTGACGCTATCTCGACCTCTGATCGCGTGACTCTTGTTCTCATGCATTGGGCTGTTTTCAGCATCATCTTGACAGGCGGAAGCACGCTGTTCCCTCGGTTCGCTGAAAGATTGTAAGTAGTTTTTCTGTAGGAAAAGAGACAGCGTTATCTCCCATAGCATGAGTCTGCGTGCATCATCTTAGTTGTTTGTATCAACAGGCAGAGGGAACTTCGACCTCTTGTGCCCGAGGAGTACCAGGTGAAGATAATTTCTCAAGAGAAGTATGTGCCTTTTACTCTGTTTCTGTCTTGGCGCCTCTCCCTCGTTCACTAACGCTCATGTGCGGCGTGCGCGAATGGCATTAACGCTCTGCTACTTTGCGCAGCCCAATCCTTGGTGTCTGGAGAGGAGGATCTGTCCTGGCGTCCAGCCCCGATTTCGAGTCGATGTGCGTTACGAAATCGGAGTACGAGGAGATGGGGTCGGCACGGTGCCGCCGGAGATTCTTCCACTGAAGAGCTGCTCAGTAGATAGGACAATGTAGCCTGTTTTAGATGGCATGTTTAGCAAGTGGCATGCGAATTAGGGGTTCCTCTTCTGCAAAAGGTTTAACAAGTTCAGTATCTGCACTAGACAAATGTAACTACCGCTTGGTTGGCCATGAGATTAGAGGTTGTCTTCCCCATGCACGCACGCACGCACGCACGCATGCAGATCAACTTTGTATGAATGGATTCAGTTGTGGGTGGGTGGATTTAGCATCTGGGAATTTCAGATTTTCCTGAGGATTTTCTAGTCAACCTTTGCATGAACCTTCATTGCCTTGATATAAATTTGTCCTGTAAGTTTGGCTGTTGAAATAACAGGCGTATCTCGGCGAGAAGGTCCGGGACGCCGTGATCACCATCCCGGCCTACTTCAACGACCCGCAGCGTCAGGCCACCAAGGACGCCGGCCTCAACGTCGTCCGCCTCACAAGGACGCCGGCGGGACACCACCATCAGAGCTCGTGGCCCCTTCGACGGGAGCATACCGCTTACGGTTCAGATTACCATCAACGTACGTCCCTGAGCTTCTTCACCCCAACTCATCGTCTTCAGAGAGCAATACCATCATTATCATCGTCTTCAGAGAACAATACCAGGCCTTCATATACACGGGAACCACGAGCCCATCTATACTGGGCTTTCTTCAACTACAGCCCTCCCAAAATAACGTGCTCTGTTTGTGTTTGTGCCTGTTTTTTGTTTAGTCCCACCTCGGGCAGCCGCGAGGGAGAGGAGGCGAAGGCACCCTATATCAGGCGACCAACGGCGTCAAGGAGAGGCATACCTTTCTCGGCCTTTTGGCTAAGATCAAGTGTAGTATCTGTTCTTATCAGTTTAATATCTGATATGTGGGCTACATGCCCACAACGATATTAAATTTATTTTTTATGGGGAAGGAGCCACCACAGTAGCTTGCTATTGGGCCTCTTGCGTGTCGCCTAGGCGTTGCACTACCGCCTTAGGCCGGCGCACCCCAACCAAATCAAATTCATTTTTTTTATTGTGAAGCTCCCTTCTTACAAATTGGCAAAAAAAGTAGACCTTGGTTTTGGAATCATTTGGCTTTAAAAGCTTGTCAATTTTGCAGTCACTGAGACTGAGAATGGACATGTTGTATGTACCCTGTGTTTGATGTTACTGAGGAACGATGGTGCTCCGTCTTTGCTTCGTCAAAGGCATGCTATCCCGTTCTGCTGCCAGCCAGTTTCCGTGAGCAAAGTGAAAAAGGGCAGAACTCAATTAATTTGCATTCCAAAATTTGAATGACAAAGCAAAAAGGTCCATGAGTAGGGAATTTCTCAACACAAAGCAAAAAGGTCCACAAACATTTTGTCTACAGTCAACCTCGCCTCCATTGCTTCAGGCCTGATGTTGGTATTGACTAGACAACTTCAGCAAGCAAAGTTCCCCAAAATAAGACATGTAAAAAATCAGCATATAGTAGGTACGGTATTACTTGGTAAACTGAAAGAGAAAAACATGCATCCAGATTCAAGTACACACATTTTTAGTTAGCCACAGTGCGATCAAGTATTCCCAGGCTACTAATTACCAGAAATTAGAATTGCTCAGGTTACCAATAACAAGAAATTAGAATTACAACTGGCTGCGCCTCTTATAGTCATTGCTCAAGCTGCTGTAAGCCTGCGAGCATTACGAGACCACTAGCATTCTCTGACCATACCTGTCAACAGATAATTATCTCCATGGATGAGGATGATCCATGTGTGAGTTGCTCCTTAATCCGACGCCTGCTAGCCTTTTCCGCCTTGGATCTTTCAAGGTTGGTGGCATCGCAGTTTGTGCATGGGATTTCACCATACAACTGGATTATCAAAAGCCCCACAGCTCGTTCCATGACAAGCCTTACATAGTTTGTCACCTTGTCTTCATCCTCGCACCCGAAGGTCTGCAGCACCTTCAAGTTCAGGTGCTTCAAATCCTTGGATGGCTCCCATACCACGTTGGTCTTCTCGGCACTGTCCTCGGGCGTCTTGACACATGAATGTTGAGACAACTTCAAGCAATGATATAGAAAGTAAATAACACATGTTAATTAAACTGCCACCAACCCATAAGGACAAGGAGTACAAGCTTAGTCCCCTATACACTTTTCAAGGAATTTGCATGAATTAAATCGTAAGTATGGCACATGAATTATGAATATGCTTCTGTGATTCCATTGTAATTACAACCATATTATCCTCTTATTTCTTTTAACCAAGATTCTTTGTAATATGAAATATAAGACGGCAACGTGCATCACTCGATGCAGAGGCCAGGCTCTCCTTTTCAAGAAAAACATATGACGAATTTTTGGATTACTCTAACATGAGATAGAATCCAACTTTTTTTTTGCCTTGCATGGACATTGTCTCGCTGCAAAATTACAATGCGGCTTGTATGCACTACTTATAGTATTTGTGATAAGTTGGTGAGTGGTTGGAAATTAGATTAACTTGTTGGTATGTTTTAAATGCTGAATATCCGAAAAACATATCATCATAAAAATGTAGAATGAGTCATGTACATGCTAAGATGTGGACTAAACTAGAAAGAAGGTTAAGTAACACTTACTGCCAAATCATATAGGGCAGGTGCAGCTTCAAGGATAAACAGAGTCCAGCTCAGATCACACTCACTGAAGATACCGAAAAGACACACAGAGGTCAGGTTTCTGAATATAGCAATGAGCTTGAGAGTATTGTAAGTGGCACAATTCTTTTTCTCACGCTACTAATGATTGTAGCGTGTTTTGTCGACAGGTGCAATCGGCTATCAATGAAGGACGATTGACGTTTACAGAAGGTTCTAAGATGAAGCTCGACAGCGACCCTTTTCCTATCAATGTGGTCGAGCTTGAGAGTAAAAAAGTGCTTATTCGATCGGATCAGACCGAATCCGGAAGAGAGAAAAATGTTGTTGATAGCAGTGCTCCTCCAAGGATGATCAAACCAAAAAATCCAGAAATAGGAGTGTGGAAAGTCAACGGAGGGAGGAGACAAGCTCCAAGGCCAAATTCGACAGTTAGCATGTTGTTGGAAAAATATACCTCACGCAAGACCAGCAATGTGTTTAATCGGCTCGGAGGTAATAAGCGTCCAAGATCTCCTTCTGGACCTCGCAGTCATGAGAAATGGCAAGGAAGTGCATATGATCAACATCCGTATTTTGCAATGGAGCCGACATATTGGGGTTGTGCACCTCCTATGTATCCGCAGTTTCCTCCATGGGGGTTTAATCCTTGGGCGCCATATCCTACAGGGCCAGCAGGTTATTTTCAGTCGGGATGGATCCCGCCGAGGCTTATGTTCAGACCAAACGATGAGAAAAAGGCTCGTTTCAATGAGGAGGCTAGATCACATAACGCCATCGAGATTCGAGGACATCGATCACCAGTACGCAGTGTAGAGCGCAACAACTATAAGGGCGATTACAAGCGCGTATGGATGCCGGTGAAACGTGCCGATCCTAAACCCAGAAAAGTGCAGATGATTTAGATGCTGCTCATGGTCTGAAAATAGCAGAACATCAGTCAGATGAAGGTGTTGTCAATTGTACAAAAACAAGCAGTGTCTCAACAGAAGTTGTTGGTACAGAGGAGGAAAGTAATGGCGTGAAGTTGCGGCAAGCCGGCCAATCTAATCAATTTGAAGAGAAAACTAATTTTGGGCATATGACCCGCATGCACGATCAGACAAGGAATATGTTGTATCCTCACGTACTAGTCAACAGTATAAATCAAGTTCGTGTGCTGATTTAGTTATGAGAAATTGGCCCAGGAACGTCAAGAGTTTGCCTCCAATGGGTTTGAAGTATAACAGCAACACATGCACACGTTGGGATTCCAGCAATGTATGCGGACATAATTCTAATGCTAGTAAAGTATATGATCAGCAAGGAGGTTTGTCGGCTAAAGACAAAATATTCATCCCAGGAGGAACAGTACTTCAGTACAGGCCAAAGGACCCGGGGGGCAGCAAAATTAATTCAGTCGCGCCAGGGACTAAACCAGCACCTCAGTGGTGTCCAAAAGGACTTACGCACACTCAGAAACGACGTGTACAGCGACTGTGTATATTGGAAATAAAGGAAGAGATAGCTGAGAAGAAGCGTGATAAATGGTTCAATCAAGATAAACCAATGATACCCACAAGAACTTGGAAGGAGAAGCGCATCGCAGCGGAGGAAAATAAAAATACGGATGACACCATTATTGCAGAAAATTCAGAGAATGATAAAGATGTACCAACTGATATGGATGTTAATATGGTGTTCGCATTGCCTGCTGAATTTCGCACGCCCGAGGCTAAAATTGCTGAACTTGTTCTTGGCCCAAAGAATGCTACATTTGAGAAACCAGAGAAGCATGGACAACACCTAAAGCCATTATTTATCAGAGGTCACATTGACGGTAAGCCTATTGGTCGCATGCTAGTTGATGGCAGGGGTTAATATTATGCCCTTTTCGGTATTTTCTAAACTGAACCGAAAAGAGAGCAAGTTAATGAAGACCAACATGGGACTTAGTGGGTTCTCAGGAGAATTGTCTGAGGCTAAGGGTGTTATTTCTATGGATCTCACAGTCGGAAGCAAAACGTTGCCAACTGCGTTTTTTGTTGTCGATGTCAAAGGACGGTATAACATTCTTTTGGGATGCGACTGGATTCATGCAAATTGTTGCATTCCTTCTACTCTTCATCAATGCTTAATTCAGTGGGTTAATGATGATGTTGAGGTGATTGAGGCGGACAATTCTTCTTGCATTGCTTTGACGGAGGCGCCGGTTGATTGGCAATGTTTGACCGATAGGGATTTATCGGACTATGATTAATTAAATTAGTATTGGTAGAGATGGTTTTGTACCTATAGATGCACAATTGGCTAATGTAACTCGGCTTAATGATTTATCTATATAAATGATGAATAAAGACGACAGTATTAAGTGGCTGCAAAGACGCACGGAGGAGTATCATTCCGGAAAGAACGATATGCATGAAACTATTGAAGATTTTGATAACATGGAAAAGCTTGGACAGGGATTCTCATCGGCTGATCCACTTGAAGAAATTGATATTGGTGATGGAAGTATTCCGAGGCCTACATTTATCAAAGCTAGCTTGAAAGCCGATCAGAAAAGTAAGGTATGTTTATTACTTAAAGAATTCGTTGATTGCTTTGCTTGGAATTATACTGAGATGCCCAGTTTGAGTAGAGATTTAGTAGAACATAGATTACCTATTAAATCTGGTTTTAGGCCGCATAAACAACCTCGTAGAAGTTTCAATCCTAATTTGTATGACCGCATCAAAGAAGAATTTGATCGGTTGTTAAAAGCTAAGTTTATTCGGCCGTGTAGATAAGCAGATTGGGTTTCTAATATTGTGCTCGTGGAAAAGAAAAATATTGGTAATAAAAGAATCTGTGTTGATTTTAGATATTTGAATAAAGCTACTCCGAAAGATAAATATCCTATGCCTATAGCCGACATGCTTATTAATGATGCGTCGGGACATAAAGTGATTAGCTTTTTAGATGGTAATGCAGGTTACAATCAAATATTTATGGCCGAACAAGATATGTCTAAGACTGCTTTTCATTGCCCAGGTTTTGTTGGTTTATTTGAGTGGGTCGTTATGACATTTGGGTTAAAAAATGCCAGTGCTACATACCAACGAGCTATGAATTTAATTTTTCATGATCTTCTAGGCATTGTACTAGAAATATATATTGATGACATAGTTGTTAAATCAGATGGGTTTGATCATCATTTAGCTAATTTAAGATTAGCTTTTGAAAGGATGCGCCGGTATGGATTAAAAATGAACCCACTCAAATGTGCTTTTGGCGTGTCGGATGATAAGTTTTTAGGCTTCATAATTCACGAAAATGGCATAAAGATTGACCCCAAGAAAGTGGAGGCAATTCGAAATTTGGAGGAACCCACGTGTAAAAGGGATGTGCAAAAATTGCTAGGAAAAATTAATTACTTGAGACGATTCATATCTAACAGAAAATTGAATCGTTTGTTCCTCTACTTCGGCTAAAGAATGAGGCCGAATTTACTTGGGGGACAGAGCAACGAGATGCTTTTAATTATATAAAGCGATGCTTGTCGAATCCTCCAATATTGCGGGCGCTCAAGTCCGGTGCGCCGTTCAGGCTATACATTGCTGCAGAAGATAGGGTGACCGGTGCGGTGTTGGTGCAAGAGGTAAGCAGGAAAGAATACATCATTGCATACTTAAGCCGTCGTTTGCTCGATGCCGAAAGTCAGTACGTGTTTATTGAAAAGTTTTGCTTATCTTTATACTATGCATATACCAAGTTTCGGCCTTATCTTCTTTCTAGCACGTGTGTAGTAGCTTGCCAGGCCGACGTTATTAAGTATATGTTGCAACAACCGATTCTTAGTGGTAGGATTGGAAAGTGGGCTTACACACTAATAGAATATGATTTAACATATGAGTCGTTGCGTGCTATGAAGGGTCAAGTTATCGCCGATTTCATTGTTGATCATAGGATTAAAGATGATGAAAATATTAATTATGTTAGTGTGTGTCCATGGAAGCTTTATTTTGATGTATCGGTTTGTAGGGACGGGCAAGGCGTCAGTAATGTTTTAGTTTCACCTAATAATGTTGTTTATGATACATCGGTCCGTTTGAAACATCCTTGCACTAATAACCAAGATGAGTATGAAGCTTTAATGTTTGGTTTACAAACTTTAGTTGATATGGGCGTAAAGGATGTAGATGCTTTTGGGTATTCTCTTCTGGTAGTACAACAAATTAAAAGCGAATTTCAATGTTTTGATGGGTTATTAAATAGTTATTTGGACCGATGTTTAGACATAATTAAGTCTCTAGATACGTTCACTATCCAAGAAGAAAATTCTAGAGCTAATTGTTTAGCACAGCAAGCATCCGGTTATCACATTCGTAAAGGAATGTTTTTATATTACAAAAGCCGATGCATGCTGAG